TATATATATATATATAATATATTTGTTTTTGTTTTTTTATGTAATGTAGAGCAACCAACGGAAATGTAATCAATGTAGTCAGACTTATAGCACTTGAGAAACATGGAGCAGCTCTACCCTCTTGTCTCCAATCCCGCTGCTGGAACGTCGGTGTCTGGTGTAGCTTCCGCCAGAGCCTTCACTGAGCAATAGATAAAAACCGGCACTCGAATGGGGATCTGTCCATCCAATACTTTATTTGCAAAAAGACACAAAAGCAGCAACAAACAAATGTTTAAATGTTTCAGGCCCCAAACTGGGCCTTAGTCATAGCAAGGAAACCTCAAAATGGCATATCTTAAGTACCCACAGATACACACAGAAAAATGTCAATCCCAGATATTACTCGATAATATCCACCCGACCTTAATACTAATCTTCAGAGTGGGAAGACACTACTGTAGCACCATAAATATGACTTCATAATATTTATTATTGGTAGGATATAAGCTAGCATTCTATAGTCAGGCTTTTAAGATGAGTCTGCAGGTAGTTGCTATGGATTATTGTATGTCTGCAAGAACTTTATAATGGGCATTTTCTAATGATGAATATAGATCAATGTGGTTCAGTTTAACCGTTTCGCTGCCAAAGGTGTGTGGTTTACATCAGAATAGAAATGTTTCTAGCTGGCCAGCTCAGTAACTCTTATGTCCTTGGCATTCCCTTCTTGCTGAAGCAAACATGAACTTTTTTTAATTCAAAATCTGCTTTTCATTGAGAGTTGGGATGCACCAATACTAGTACTCGTACTCGCCCAAATGCTCTGATACTTACCCCTGATACCGGAACTTCCGGTCAGTGCTGCGAGGGGAACAAGGAGCCGGCTTTCCAATCAGGAATGACTCGCTGCCCGGCTTCCTAGATAGCCGGGAAGCAGGCTCCATGCTGATTGGCCTGGAGGCCAGCTCAATGCTGATTGGCTGGGAAGCTGGCTTCCCAGGCCAATCGGCTTAAAGCCGGCCAAACAGCATCAGCATGATTGGCTGGGAAGCCGGCTTCCCGGCCAATCAGCATTAAGCCGGCAAGACCGCATGGTGCGTGCTTCCCGGGCAGCGGGTAATGACCTGGCTTCCTGAGTGGACGGGAAGTCTGCTCGGTGCTGGTTGGCTGGGAAGCCAGCTTTCCGGCCAATCAGCATCAAGCCGGCCAAACAGCATGGAGTGGGCGTCCTGGGCAATTAAGAAGTAATAACACGCCACCCGGCTTCCTGATTGGCCAGGAAGCCGGCTCCATGCTAGCAGAAGTACCAGGCTTGGTATTGGTGAGTACCGAACGATAAATATCGGTACTCGATACCGAAAAAAAACGGTATCTGTGCTTCCCTGATTGATAGTACACTGCATGACTAGTATTTTTGTTTGTTATTTTCCATATTTGTGTTGCATGTGCTGGCAACCTACAGCAAAATGCTTTTGGGTATTTTTTAATCTCACAAAGCAGTTATAAAGCATTTCAGTTGTGCTGAATGGCTTTTTTTTTTTCTTAAACCCTTAAAGCAAACTTGTACTTTGCTCATGTAAGTCAATACAACAATTTTACTTTAATGCCCCCCTCCAGCAACACATACTCTCATTTTCTGCACCCCCTGCCACCCATTGGTGTTTCCAGGTATGAACGAATATGTGACTCGCTTTGTTACAGCACTGGTGCTCCGTGATTGGCCCAGTGCCTTTTGCATGGGCCAATCACCAGAGGCCTTCTGGTGGCTGAAATAAGCTACGGCGGAAGTGAAGAAAAAGTTAAGCATTTGTTTAGTTTGCATTTGTTTAGTTTGCATTGCTTATTTAAAGCTGCAGTCAATCCTTGCCTTAAATGCTGTATTTAAAATTACCAGAGTGAAGTTGAACGATCCTTTTAAGGGCTTCAAAACAGCTGTTGACTTCAATAAATTATAGAGAATAAATTTTACTGTTTATTTCGTTTTCAGTGGTCCCACTTTTACTGCTTTTGTGCTCCTGCGGCTCGAAAGCAAAAGGATTTTTAACAGTTCCAGAAGATGGCCCTGAAGGAACAATTCTTATACACAACAAAGAAGGCCCTATACCCGAGGACACAGTAAGTACTAAGATAATGATGAAAGCATAACTGTTTTTGCTCTTCTTTTCAGATAATATTCCTTGGTATGATCCCCGCAGTGGAAATGCACCGAAACACATGTAATATATTGTTTTAGACTGAAAAAGCAGCTAGTCTGTATTGCAGTGAAATTTTTATATGACGCCCTGTAACCTGAAACATGCAGCATTTATATAAACAAAAAAAATATGTGGTAATGAGATCAATGGGAGTGATACTGCCCCCTTTAACCACTTGAAGACCGGGGTGTTAAACCCCTTTCCTGTCCAGGCCATTTTTCAGTATTCAGCAGGTTCTTTGACTGACATTTATTCCGTCATGCAATGCTCTACTGAAATTAATTTTATATTTTTTTTTTTTGGTACAGACCGAGCTTTCTTCTGGTGGTGTTTTTAATCACATTTTTGTTTATTATATAAAGAAAAACACCAAAAAGTTTCCCTCACGTTATCAAACATTTTTATTATTACCCAAATATATTGTAAAATATAAAAGACGGGGTCACGTCGGTTAAACGGGGAACATGTCAAGCCATAAAATTGCATGTGCCCATCAAAAAACTCGAAAAACTACAATGCCCAACATTGGCCATAGGCAAGGCTTAAAAAGCTTTTACCGCTCATCAATTTAGTGGCCCTAGAATTATTGCGCTCACTCTGACATTCATGGTGTTATGTAACATGTGCGGTGCAATGGGCACAGTCATCATTTTGGCACGTAGGCGCATCCATCACATGTTTGCATGTGGGGGGGAGGGGACTTTAAAAAAAAAATTGTGTTTTTTATTTGTATATGTGACTTCTTTTTTAAGAAGCCCCTTATGTGATATCAAATTTGCAGGTCCTCTTTATGGAGACCTCCTTTATTGTCACCTATGGACCCCCAAAGAAGCTGATGAAGCAGAGATCTGCTTCACCAGCTTCTCTCCAGCTACAGAAACCAGAGAATGACCACTGAATGCAGAAGTGATGTAATACACATCACTTTAGCATTCAGAGACCGGAGAGGAGATCAGGGGGAGATTGTGTCTGACTCCCTGGACGGATCCTGACAATGCTGTCGAGATCCACCCAGCTGGCTGATTGACAGCTGGCTCTGCCTATCTAGAGGCAGAGCCAGCTGTGCCCGCCCCTCCCTGTCCATTTCTCCACTGAGCGCTGGAGAGAGGAGGGGTGGGGGGGAATCCCTGCGGGGAGCGCTGACTGACGGTCACGGCTCTCTGCAGGAAGATGATCGGAAAGTGAGCGAGGGACGGTATGTGTTCGCTCACTTCCCGATCTATAGAGCCGACGTGTGATAGTTTCTTTGTCACAGGTTGACTCGAACTAGGAGGATGAGTGAAAATCACTCGCCCTTCTAGTTCTCCTTTAACAACTACAGTATGTAGGCTTTCTACAATCAGATAGAAATACACTTGGCCAGCATTACAGTGCTGTTCATAAATGTGAATAAAGGCAACTGAAGGAGACTTTTGTAGACTTTTAGGTTATGCAATCTATGCAATCTCTGATGCAAAGAGACACTTTGCCCTGTGAATAATGTCTTTAGGTGAAATGAAATTGACTCTTTTTTTTTTTTTCTTTACAGGCTGTAATGCCACATGCAATTGGGGTTATTGGTGCTGCGGGAGCAGGGGCTGGGGCTGGGGCTGGAATGCTAAAAGGCAGTGGCTATGCAGCGGAAGCTATGGACGGATACGATTACAGCTCTAAGGGGATGTACAGTTCCAGTATGTATGGAATGGGTGGACGATATGAAGAACATGGGGCTCTGCTAACTGCAGGAGAAATGGCGGCTGGAGGTGGAGCTGGCATGAGAGCTATTGGTGTTCTGGGCTCAGGAAGTGGAGCTGGAGCTCAAGTCTCCTTTGGTGCTGCAGGTTATGGTGGGAGCCAGGCTGTTCTGAATGAAGAATTCATGAGAGGCTATTTCTTTGATGTAAGTATCTTTGGGATTTTACTCTGTGATTGTTGTGTTATCCCCATTTTTCAAGACTCAGCAATTCTGTAACCTCCATACAGAAATGGATCAATCTATTTAAACAGTACAAGGAACTATATGAAGAGAGTTTTAAATACAGTGTTCAGGGTGCAGGCCTTTCATTGTTGTAGATTGAAGATTATTGGTTTTGCTCTTGCTAGCTTTGTGGATATATATAACAAGGCTTGGGAACCAAAAATTTACAGGTAACTAGGGATGCACCGATACCGTTTTTTCGGTATCGAGTACCAATATTTTTTTTTTACGATACTCGCCGATACTGATACCGAAAGTACCATTAAGGAAGCCAGGCGGCGTGTAATGACTCGCCACCTGGCTTGCTGATTAGACGGGAAGCCATCCCCATGCTTCTCATCACAAGGTGACGAGAAAGCATGGAGCCGGCTTTCTGGCCAATCAGGAAGACGGGGGCCGTGTAATAACGCGGCGCCCGGCTCCCTAATTGGCCGGGAAGCCGGCTCCATGCTCTTCGTTATGAGGTGACAAGGGAGCATGAAGCCGGATTCCTGGCCAATCGGAAAGCCGGGCGCCGCGTCATTACACGGCGCCCGGCTTCCTGATTTGCTGGCTTCCCGGTCAATCGGGAAGCCGTGCAGCTTGTAATGACTTGCTGTCCGGCTTCCTGGTAACGGAAGTATCGGGCTAGGCATCGGAGCATTTGGGTGAGTACGAGTATTGGTATCGGTGCATCCCTACAAGTAACCCTTCTGCCTGAATGTGTGATATAAATAAATGAGAATCCAGAAGCAGGAGTTTGTAATACTTTTAGTGGTGGGGCAGACACACATCAATGTCATTGTTAGATATGATTTTCCAGTATCATCTTCTTCTGTCTTGAAGATATAGGGTGGAAGAAGTTCAAAAGAGAAAATTGCTTCTGTTCTTGCATAAACCTCCAAAAATGTGTTTTAATTACAAAGTTACAAATGATTACAAGATAAATGGCATGAAGCTAAATATAAAAATAGTTATGTAAATGTATAAGTAAGTTCTTGTGTCTTCATTGTGTCCGTATGTAAGAATGCTCTAGCATGTGAGAATAGGTCCCTTTTTTCCTTTGCGACAATGTCCCGCCCATCTGCCATGAGCCAGGAGATATTTTAGAACATAACAGCTCTGGGACATATAGTCTTCAGCTGAAATCTGAAACTCTTAGACCACTGGTAGGAGTGAGGGGGATGGGGGAAAGAAATGCCCCCACCTTTTTCCTTGTCTTAACTATAAGTTAAAAAGCATTCAACTATCATATAAACCATATAATGGTGCATGTATCAATATTTATACATAATTCAATGTTCTTTCTTTTATGAATAACTTAATCAAGAAATATTACAGTAAAGAGATAACTCATAGTTTGTAAACACTTCATAAACTTTGATTTGGAATATTCTGCAAAGCGACCCTTACAGTCTTCCACAGTAATTAGGAATGTGGGCGGTTCTAGCTATCTCTGCCATCATGATTGATGAATAACATATGTGCAGCAAATAACTTCTAGTACAACCACAACCATGGACTTTAGTCTGCTTGCGTATATTCCCAAACTGAACAAATGAATATATAGAAAATCAATCTTCACTTATGTTCTTCACATTCATACATAATCCCTATATGAATAATACCCTATAAACAGTATTAGTATTGTTACTTCTATTCTTACGGGCATGGAGAGGATTAGTTGATGAAACTAACTGACCTTTACATTGTGTGAGATCATAGCCTTTACATGAAGAGGACATTTCTATAGAACTGTACTCGCAAAACATCTCTGGGCAGAAATTAAACTGCTTTTTTTTAGTGTTTGGTGGTCTACTATCCTTTTTATATTGTGAAATAAAAGGACAATATATAGTGTGTGTGCCTATATAGATTGATTATAGATGTTTTGAGTTTTCTCCATAACAATGGCTGTCATTTCTGATAATATATTGTGTTTTTTTGTTATCTTTTGTAGAAAGGCATGCTGTGTGCTGATGAAGACATGGCCCAGGCATCCAAAGACTGCATCCTTATGTATTCCCAGGAAGGAACTGGATCCATTGCTGGATCTGTTGGCTGCTGCAGTTTAGTGGAAGGCGAGTTTGAAGATGACCGCTATCTGGATGATTTGGGACTGAAGTTTAAAGTCTTAGCAGATATTTGCCTAGGTACAAATGTAGCCAGTGATGCAGAAATATCCAAGTATACAGCCTATGAGGAAGCTAGACGAGGTGCTGTAGTGTCACAAGTAGTAGCAGATATTGATCTAGTTGAGGAAGAAGAGGAGGAGGAGGAGGTAGAGCAACGTGACTTCGAAATGGAAGCTTCTTATATGTCATCAGAATCTCGTATTCAGGAGGCCAAACCAGTAGCGAGGGAGAATGTGGTGACTGGAGAATCCCTGGTCACTTCTAGATACGTGCAAGAGCCCATCATGCGCGGTAATGTTCTTGTCACAGAGAAAACCTACACCACTGCTCCTACAGTATTTTTCGAGCCAGTTCATAGACAGAATGTACTGGTGACAGAACGGGTAATTCGGCCCGCTACCAGCTTGCACAATGTGTTGGATCTTTCTGATGCAGAAAATGTTATGGTAACGGAACGCGTGATGAAATCTGACAAAGAATTGTCTGGCCTGATGAGTGTAGCAGACGCCCCTGATTCCCAGTATCTGCTGGTCACAGAGCGAGTTCTTGGACCCAGTAACAATATCAAGGCTGCTGTCAGCATCCCTGATGTGTCTATGGGGCAAAGCATGATCGTGACAGAGAGACATTTTACCCCAATATCTGGAATTAATGGCAGTGTAGTCATGCCTGCTGAGCTGTCAGCTGGCTCTAGTATGGGGAAAGAGAGCATCTCTATCTCACAAAGTGGGAGTCAGGGACGATCTGTGTATACAAAGGGGAGCTTCGGGGTGGAAGAAGTTCCATCTTCCGGTAGCAATGTAGGGAATTCAACAAGCAGAGTGACAAAATACAGCAAAGTACACTATACTCGTTCCTAAAACACTCTTGGGGAACACTCGATTTAGTGGAAAGTTTTGCTTTTGTTTGATACAAAGCCACTGAGATGTTATACAAAAGCACAAAGTTGCACTAAAATTCAAGAATTTGTTGAAAACTATTTTATATTAAAAAAAACTTTAAAAAAAATCTAGAGCACATGTCCTGCTGATCCACTGAATAGACCTTCATTTCTAAATGATATCTCATGATGGAACCTAAATTCAGTCTTTACATTTGTATTTCTAGAATGTACAGTAAGTTCAACTGGTGCCAAAGCTATTGAAACACCAAAAATCTCATCAGTCCAGAAAGTTTTTATTATATTTTTATAACCTCTTCAAATTAAAAATTGTCAAAAATAGAAAGTTTTTTAGAGATATTTAAAGCCAATTACACCACGTACGTTTTCATTTTTTCTTTTGCATTTTCAGGTGTAAATATTCAGGGATTAGTGTTAACATATGCTTGCTAATGGGGCCGTTCCCAATCTGAAATTCCAGCTCCAGCCAAAAATATATTATTATTTTTGGCTTTTTTTTTTTTAGCTTTGGATAATGTGAGAGAGTTAAACCTTTTTGTGTATTTTTGCTGTTGTAAAGGTTTCATCTCACTTTCCTACCATTTGACAAGTGTCGTAACAGGAAGTGAGGGGGGATCTTTCCAAAAAGGGACATAAACAGCAACAATATAAATAATTTTAGCAGAGTGTAGAAGCTTTAGAAAAAAGGCTTTGTTTATAATGCTGTGTCCCCCATTAGGTGATTCCTACTGTTTCCTCTCCAGGCTATCATGCCATCTAAAACTTAAAACGTTTGGACTGGAGTTGTGCTTTAATGGTGATTTCAGTGGATTGCCCTGGTGTAACAAATACACCTCCACTGATCTATTCCTTATTTGATTCTAAGGCTCTGCTGTCGGCCATTTTTATTAGTGATAAGCTTGTCAAGGTTCAGTATGTTGGCTGGCCAAGGAACAAAGGTATATCTGAGATCTCAGAGATTTGCTTTAGTTGGAACCAAGAAGAGATTAGAGGAACAGGGAAAAGTAGATATTTTCTCATACTCTCAGCCCCCATTGAGCAATGAGCCTTTTCAAGTCATTTTGAAGGATTTTTTGGTGTGTTTTGCGTCGGTCATTTTTGTTTTTGTGTCGCCTTTGTGTACCGCGCTATCGGAGCTCCCAATCTGGAAGATCTTCACGCCCAATTTCTTCCCAGGCCCTCTGCTGCTTGCCACATCAGAGGAGGCCGGCTGTTAGGTGCAGAAACACTTATGCCATGTATTGTCTGCCACTTCTGTTGAACTCTGTAGGGCCAAAAAAAAGCTTCTGTACTTTTTTGCATGACGAGAAGCAGCACGGTTCTCATTTGTGAAAGGGCACCATTGAATATAATGGGAATCCTCATATTGAGCATTTTAACACTTCGGGAAACGCACGACAGGAGTGATTGGGGGCTCGGAGAAATGAAATAATACTTTTTATAGCATATAGACATTGTTACAGACAAATACAATCAAGCAAAATTCTTTTAAATCTATTTTTACATTTAAATGAAATGGCCAAATAAATGTATATTTGACATAGTTTGGTATTTTTATTCAAATATTCAGGTTTGCCTTTAGTAGTCCTCCTGCACTGTTCTGTATTTGCATACGAGTTGCTGCTAGTTCCAGCAGCTATTCATCCTTTAATGGTTGTATTTAGTATACAGCGCGAGAAGTGTGCAAAGCACAGTCCCCCATGGAGAAAGAATTCACTACAAACATAAGGCATTCTTATAAATGTGTATGCTGGCTTTAACTGTTGGCCAACTGATTTGGTTGTTTTAGACCACAGATAATGAACTGACTATTGACTCTCTTGATGTGATAATGGGCTTTCCTATAAATAATTTTTGTATAAAAAGTCTACACTGATCATACATGGGCAGTGCCACTATTATTTACATTAAACCCTACTCGCCTTTACAGAAAGAACCACACACCTTCGTCCAACTGCTTTCTGAAAGTGTGTGGAATTTGTGGCGTTAATGAACATTGGGGTCAGCTCACTAAAGCATGAAGCATGCAGGATTTTCATTATTAACCATTAGTTAGCAAGGGTTGTGATTGCAATGGTTAATTCAAAGTTATATACACTGACAACGGTCAGACTGTGTAAGCGTTACATTTGGTAACGGAAGATTAATGTACCCCTTCAATAAATGGTTACGGTCACTTTGACTGACCTGACATCTCTGTGACCTTTTGTTAGCGCACTTGTATTGCAGCCTTAAAGTGTATTTCCACTTTTGCAGTCGAATTTGAGAAAACCCCTCTAATATGTTTGTGTTCCTGTATACAGAGCATATGTAAAATAATACAAAAATATTTCTTGCCTATTAGAGGTCTCTGTGCCTCAGGCATTTGCAAGCTTCTTTCTCAATTTTTGTGTCTGCAAACTCTGACTGACACCATAGAAGCTTGGGACAGGCTGAGATTCTTCTCGTTGAAATACAACGGCTCTAGATCTTGAACTGTTTTGTTAGGACTGTAAGGGTTTAAGCGTGCAATCCCATCAAAATCGGAAGGGAATCGCAAGTCAATGGAGGGTCCGTTGACTTGCAATTATACCTTCCCATTTCCGTCAGATCCGTTGTGTTGCGTTACGTTTTTCAAAGGATGCTAACAGAAGGACATCGAAAAATGGGTGTGAATGGAGCTAGTTCACACCGGATCCGTTGCGTTACATTGCATTGGAAAAGATTTGTGAATGCTCCCTTTTTATTTTTTTTTGTAACGGAGCAGACCCATTCATTTTTTGGTGCCCATTGACAAACGGATGGCAACGCAACAGATCTGGTGGGCCCTAAATCTAGTTCACAACTTGTCAATGAGGTCTGACAGGACTACTTGGGTTAACATTAGTTTTCCCATCTCTCATTGCATGCAAGAGAGAAATTAATTACAGAGAACAACTTTTCTTTCAGAGTTGAGCATGTTTTGTGCAAGTGGCAATATCCTATTTTTAAGTTCTGCTATGTAAATGTAAAACCTGCAACAAAACATAAAATAGGTGTTAACACAATTTTGGCTGCAAAAGTGGGGAAATGCACTGTAAACATTTCTATAGTGACACAATTCCTTGTTGAGTCCTTTATGGTAGAGGGTTTATTATCCAATTTGTACATTTATATGATATCAATCATAATCCAGTTTGAACAGGGCTGGCCATTCAGTTCAAATCGTTTCAACGCTATAGTGGAGTCTTCCAGAATTCAGGAAGCATGCTATCGTATCTCAAGATATCCAGCCACTTCGATGTTCATTATAGTAAGATTAATAGTCTTCTGCATTAGCAAAATAATAGATGTTAAATCAGAATTGTATTTTATAAGTAATATGGTTTATATCTAAAGGTCTATAATTTTGGTAGGGCTTCCTAAGGTACTTCAGTAATCAGCTGCCATTGCTCTTGTATTGCTTTAGTTAAAAGTATATAAAGGACAGCTATTGTGAAAGGTTCCGATTTTTACCACTTTCATATGAGGAAACACATTAAAAACATCATTTCTTAATCTTCGTTCATAGATTCCTATTTTTTATAAGCAGGACTAAAAAAGTGACAATGATGGCTGTGAAGAAATAAAAATCTATATTGCATTGAGCAGAGCGTTCCAGTTTTTGTTGTTTTTCATCTTTTGTTGTGCTCCCAAACTTTGACCCTTATGACCCTTTCTGTCCTGCCCATGTGTTCTGTATTTTCAGACACATGCCATCTAATGGATTCCGCTCATCCACTGACCATGTGCAGGAGACTGGATGGAGGTGTCTGACTTTCTCTATTTTCCTGTCCTTATACTAGCAAAAATGGTCCCTAAGTCAAAGTTCAAGAGCTTAAACTGGAATGTTTACAACTGATGGGGGAAAAAAAAGTAAAATGTGAAACTTAGAGGAGAACTTAGGCCTTCTAATAAAAATATGCGGCAGCACCTAATTATATGTGCGCTTACAGTTTTCTTAGTCCCCTGCAGAGTCCCACAAAGACCCATTGGCCCTTCCTGTGCCCAACTAATACAGCTTCCTGTGATGGTGTGGAAACAATGCTGCACTGCTACTGAATTAAGAGCAGAGTTGGCATGATCTTGTAGGCTTCTACAGTGGGATGAAAAAAAATTCAGCAGAGGGCCTGGTATCAGCATAGTTACTGCTGATTCACTAGCCTGTAGGTTGTCACTCAGCACTTAGTCGTGCCCACAGCTTTCTGAATTGACAGCACTGGGATGGGGAGCGTGTGAGACACAAATGAAGGAGGATTTGGCTCAGTCAGGGAAGGTAAGATACGTTTTTATAGTTTACTTTATGAGGCTTTACATAGTAAGTGGATTTGGGCTGTCATACAGGAGCCTTTTAGTTGTGCTCTCAGTTCAGCGGACAACTCCCCCCCCCCACTGTAATACAGACTTCTCCACAGCCACATCACCAAAATGTGTTCAGCCCTCCTGGCTATACATTAGAACTTCTTAAACCCTATGATTGATAATGCCTTAAAAATGCATGCATTGAAAACTGAATTTTAAAATGTGTTCCTCATATGTAGGTTCCAAAAATTATACATTTCAAATTGTCCTTTTTAAAATCTCACTTGTATTTACTAAAGGTAAAGATGTAAGTGCTACATTTCTGGCAACACCACGGGTTCCATTTATGTTTTCACAGAAGATTCACACAACTTTCAGCCGAGGATCACAGTTTTATATTTAGAATCGGTTAGAAAATGTGTGAATCTTGAGTGAACGCGTTAATAGATGGTCCCCTTTATGTATATATTGTATATATGACACAAGACCTGCTGATTTTTATTTTGTTTTATCCCGAAAATAAAAACAATTCAGCCTTTCAATGCAGCTTGTACATTTTTAGAGTTTTTTGGTTTTTGTAAAAACAGTTAATTTGAATGGTGTGAATAAGTAAATGCACACGATGGTTCAATGACACATTCATGATCTCTGTATTGTATATGTGTTTCCGTTTTACATAGAAAATAATGAGTTCAAGTGTATATCAAGCTAAAACGGTTTTGGAATCTGTCAGGTTTTTACTGCTAACCAGGGCTCCATTAAAAAGATTTCTCCTAACTTCCTGTCCTACTGACCATGTTATGTGACACAGGAAGTGAGGGGAACTCTTCAACAGCAACATT